GTGCATCCTAGTCATCACCACAGTAACCATTTCTGATGTCACAAAGGATTATTACTTTTGCTAGGAAGTAAGTTTGAGCAGATGGATGCATAAGGAACCAAAATCCTGTTGTTATACAAATAATTAGAGGGTAGGAGGAAACTAGTATCAATTATGCATGTAGGCATAATTTTTGAAATAGATTTTTAAATTTGTATTTCATACTGAGAATTTCTGAGAAATACAAAATGTTTAAATCACAAAAGTGGGAGCAGCATGAAAGTCATGGACTTTTAAATTGTAAAAAACTACTTTTAGGTAAAACTTGCTTTTGCAGATTATAGGCTGCTTTTACATCCAGTACCATGTTGCCTCCTCAGTTTTTCTCCTTAGTATTTTCAAAGAGTTGAGCTTTCTATCTTCTCTTTTGGAAATCTGATGATGACAGAAATTATATAAAAAAAAAAAAACAATGTATTTGCTGAGGTTATTATAAGGCTTTTCTATAAAGCATGAATATAAGAAAGTTCCAGAATTGTACCTAGTCATATTATTATATAGGCTTGATAGGTACTTTCTGCTAGCTACTTAGCTGTCTTTCCATTTTTTCTTTCAAATTCTAACGTCTGTGTTTCTCTGCATTTATCTGTTTCTTTCCTTTTCTCTTCGAACTGTTGTGGGTTGGATTGTTGGGGGGTTTTTTTGTGTTTTTTTTTTTCATGTAATGCTGTCTACACTCGATACCAAATTAATTGCCTTATTGAATGTTCAGAAAAGTAGACTGTCAGCAAAGACCTGCTTTTGTGTATTTTGGAATAGGTTCAACCTTACCTATCAGATTGCCTAAACCTTAAAAATCAAATAATACCCAAGCAGTAGCGGAGGGGTGAAGCAATGAACTCACATGCAGATGGAGGGAGTATACACTGGCTTTGGCAACCTGTTCGTCATTATGAAGAAAGTAGAAGTTACACAAATTCAGTGAACCAACAGTACCATCTATGTATTGTAAAGAATAGCCCAAACGTAGGAACAACCCAAGTAACACTCATCAAAAGAATAGGTAAATAATTGAGATGTGTTCATACAATGAATATTATACAATGGGAAGCATGAAACAGAATTTCACAAACATAATACTGAGTATAGGAAGATAAGCACAAAAGAATAAATACAGCATGATTCCATTCAAATAAAGTTCAAACAACAAGCAAAGCTAAACTATTCCATAACCATATTGTGGTGGTTAAAAACAAAAGCAAGTAAATGATTTTCATTCTCATTCTCTGGTTCTTTCGACAAACACACACACACACATACACAAGCACTCACATTCATCCTCTAGGTAAATGATAATTCACCAAAATCTAAGCAAAGGCCCCATTTATTCAGTAAATACTGAGTGTCTACTATGTACTGGGCATTTGTTGCCCAGAACAGAGAGAGAGCCTAGTTGGGGAAACATACAAGTAAATCTGAAATTAGAATACACTGTAACATGTCACAGTGATTGTATTCAGTGGTTATTTTAGGTTCTTTCCTCAGCCTTACTATATAACTTGTACCTGATAATGGAATATCACCTTGGTAACTTTTTTTGGTAACATTTTTTTTCTCATTTGTGAGACATAATAACCATGACAAGCAAGTTTTATTGCTTCCTGCTCTTGGCTGCTGAAGGGTAATGGAAGTGCAGTATCTCTTTAGATTTATAGCTCTGCTCTTACCTACTGTGAAGAAATATCATACTTGTGCTGGAAACTTCCTTCGTATGACACGTCATCATTAAAGAATCTAGCAGGGCCTAAAGAGTTGGTGGGCTGCACTTTGACCCAGTGTTTCGAAACCTCATAATTATGGAAAATTAAGATATGAATTATATTTCTAGAAGTGACAGTGCAGGATGCTTCACAAGTTAGGAGTTATTTATTATGAGAAGAGTTAAAAGTCAGCCTATATTTCAGAGATATGAAAGTTTAGGATAAGGGACCTTTTGTAAATTATTTTTAAGTGAACAGTAATAATACTCATTTTAATATTGTAACATAAAACTGTAGAGCTACCTTTATTGTGGGAGAACAATTTATGTGGACTTGTGCAATGACAAATGATCTAAAATGTAAATGATTCATAAGATACCCTTAAAGACATAGTCTTTCACTGGTTTTGGTAGAGTAATAGAATACAGCATTGTCATTTATTCCTTCGCATCCTCCAGTTCTTTAAAATATGTTAATAAAATTATCTTTAACCTTATTTCCCTGGATGGCTTGTCAAAAAAGGGGAAGAGGAAGGAACTGCATAAACATTCCTGTAGTGGTGGTTAATACTTTTTTAGCTTAGATATCTATTTCTATATGTGCTTTATTTTTCTTCTCAGATTTGGTATAATGTAATTTCTAATACAGAGATTGAGTTTATGTTCTGTAATCAACTGCTGATAATACATGAGTGAAGAGCTATGTTGTAAATAATCTAAACAGGTCAGGGAGGGAGGAAGGGAACTGAAGAAGGAAGGAAAGGAAAAGAAGAAAACCACTGTGGTTCTCACACATAAATAGGTGGTTTGCCTTCTAACTGTAATTACGTTATTTATTGCATTATTAAATATGAACAGATTTGTTGAATAAATTTGTATAAAAATTTATTACATTATTGAATATTTTGAATACTGAGTAGTTAACTTTTTTTTTTTTTTTTAAGATTTCATTCATGGGGTGCCTGGGTGGCTAAGTTGGTTAAGCAACTGCCTATGGCTCAGGTCATGATCCCAGGGTCCTGGGATTGAGTCCTGCATCGGGTTCCCTGCTCAACGGAGAGCCTGCTTCTCCCTCGTCCTCTGCCTGCCGCTCTGCCTACTCGTGCTCTCTATCTCTCTGCCAAATAAATAAATAAATAATCTTTAAAAAAATAAAAATAAAAAAATTAAGATTTCATTCATTTATTAGAGACAGAGAGAGTGAGAGCATGAGTCAGTGGAGGGCAGAGAGAGAAGCAGACTCTCCGCTGAGCAGGGAGCCCGAGGCGGGTGCTCGATCCCAGGACCCCGATATTATGACCTGAGCTGAAGGCAGACGTTTAATTGACTGAGCTACCCAGGCGCCCCAAATAGTTAACTGTTGATAGGAAGCCAGCTTAGCTTTTAAAATTCACGGCAAATAGGCTCCACAAGGTTTTTAAGTCTTAGTTTCCTAGAACATGAATTTAAGGCTTAGTTTAGCAATTCTCTAAGATTTCTAAGTCCTAAGCCTATTTGATTTATATTTTGAAAGCCCATATTTAATCAGCAATTTGAATCAAAGACCATTTAAGCTTCACATTTTAGGCATGGCATATAGTGTATATTTATATTATTGAAGGTCTGAACATTTAGATTTGTAATCATAATGTTCAATTTTCTCTGACATCATCCCCATACAGATTGCCCAACATTACACTTATGTTATTGGACAGTAAAACTTCGGATGTTAGATTTCTAAATGAGATATGACCAGTGTTCTTGGCTGGCTTATCTGACTAGTTACCCTGACAATTAGGAGTTTTCTGTGATTTTATTAGCTGATGAGCATAGGTTCCCGTCCTGCAACTATATAACAATACAGTAAAGCTGAGTGGACAAAATTAAGTTATTTCACTTGAGTATGGATTTCCTGAAAATTTTTCAGTTATCAAGCAAGTATTTATGAGGCCCTGCTATATGAGGGGTGTGTGTGTGTGTGTGTGTGTGTGTGTGTGTGTACACACCATAAGAACTGATATATATTGTTTCATTGTCTAATATGATTCAGCAACAATTATAAAGATATGACCTTAGTTTCAGTTTTCTTATTAGAAAAATGAAAATCTTTCATTTACTTAGTAGCTAGCTATAATGCCCTTGTGAACCATTTCTTCTACTGACCCTTTAGACCATGATTCTGTAGCTGCCCTGTCCGGTATGGTGGCCACTAGCCAGACTTGGCTCTTAAACAGTTGTGAAATGTGGCTAGTCTGAATTAACATGTGACTGTAAGTGTAGAGTACAATCAGATTTCAAAGATTTATCACAAAAAGGACAATTTAAAATATTTCATTAATAATCTGTATATTGATTGCATATTGGGATGATGTTTTATTGGATTTAATAAAATAGGTTATTAAAATTAATTTTTTACCTGTTTCTTTTTCTTTTTTTCATGTGGCTACTAGTAAATTTAAATCACATATGTGGCTCATACTTCTAGCTCTCCTATTTCTTTTATATGAGGAAAGTCAGGTTTAGAAAGACAGATACTCTTTCTTTCATCTCTTTCCTACCTTCAGGGGTTAAAAAGTATTCTAAAGCTCTTTATATATTCCAACAGTTAAATGACATCTGTTCTATGTAATATATATGTATACATGACAGAAGGTATGTCTGACCATCATTTTGAGCACTGGTCGTAATGTTGAGGTACATTGGTGTGTTCTAGAATGGAGGGAATAAGGAAAAATGAAACATAAAATAGCAAGAATTGAGAAAAGGAACATGCTTATGGACTATAGAAATGCCGTTTAAAAGACCCTTACTGTGATCTAGAATTATTATGTGAGTTAGATGGTTTTCTTTGATAATAACTAACTGAGAAACACTCATAGAAAGATATATTTAGTGGCTTCCAAGCTGAGAAAAAAAAATTCTATAAAATATTAGTGTCTGTTTTTTTTCTCTTACACAGAATTGTCATTTGTGAAAGAGGAGGTGAAAATTTTCACATGTGATAGTCATACATTCCTAGGACACAGAGTTCTTTAAGCTTCTATATGATGCCAGGGAGAATAATTTTTTTTCTCTGAAAAAGTGATTGTCTCTTTTCCCCATCCCACCCCCATTTCCATGTTTACTTGTTTTGTTTTCCCAAAAAGACATATTTAATGCCCTGCCTAGGTTTATTTTCTACTTAACTCACTAAATAAGGAATAACATTGTTATGTTTTATATTTGAAATTGTAAGGTACATTTCTTTTTTCTTTTATTTTTAATTTAACTCTTTGTTTTACAGATGAGGGCAGAAGTGCAGTTGACCAAGCAGGTGGTGCACAGATTGTAATTGACCATTTAAGGTCACTGTGCAGTATAACAGATCCCGCCAATGAGAAGCTCTTGACTGTCTTTTGTGGCATGCTGATGAACTATAGCAATGAGAATGGTAAACAAAATTGAAAACTTGCTTTATCTCTGGGGGAGATTAAAAATCATTACTGTAGCACAGACCAAAAATATTTAGAAAAATTATGAGCAAAGAATTCATAAGTGGCATATAAAATTAATAATTAGCCAACATTAAATCACAGTGTTTCAAAAATACAGAATGTTCTAATTTATTAAATGGGATGAGTTTTTGAAGGGTTACCCATGTTAACAAATACCAAAAACAAAAACAACATAATGGTATGCTTTAATATTTCTCACTCACATTTTAAAAATAAACAGTATTAAAATAGCTTCATGTTTATTACTTTATAATAATGTCAGGAGTAGCTTTAAAACACAAACACTATATTAGTAAGATTATTTTATCTAGATACTAGATTTACTTGTCAGAATAGAAAAAATCTTTTAATAAACTCTGGCCTTAGAAAAAGTTCAGAGTAATTGCAGTTTCTGATTTTAGAAATTTAATAAATACTTGTCAATAGAAGTTTCTTTTCTCTGTAAAACATTCTTAAAAGCTAGCAACAAATGATATGTCAAAATTTTCAGATAACCTATATGGTTGTTAATTAAATGAACATAAAAATGGTGATATGAAAGCTTCATTGTACTTTTAAATGTCACAAAAATGTATCATATGAGTTACAGCATGGATCCAACACTCAAAAATTCTGATAGGTTTCTAGGCTATAACACACCTAAGGTCTTTCTGTGGTTTGTTTTATAATGGCATCTTAAGGTGTAGTCTTTGACAGAGATATTTTATTTCCATATTGAACATGTAATATCATTCTTTCATGTGTTCTAGAAACACGTGGACCTTTAGGCATATTTTTCATTTTTCACTTTTGGTAGTCATGAGTCCAAAGAAATATTCTCAATAGTTAAAAAAAAAAAAAAGACAAACGTGATGATCAATGGCTACTGGCATTTGGCGTTGGTGTTAGAGACAACCACAAACAGTGAGGACTGCTGCCTTTGTCTCATTGAACAGGGAGGGCCACTACTCTCTACTCCATAGTTTCTCACAGCACTTTGGCCAAATACTACCATATCTTTCATTTGGAGATGGGGGGGAAGCTGCAAATCTAGTTTTCCATGTGACACCTGATTTTTAAATGTTGGATTACATGTGCTTTTTTAGCACTGTACAAGCTAAACTTAGAACGTGTCCTCAGGTCACATCCTATACACAGGATACCAGATAACCTCTGAATTATAATTTCCAATAATAGTAAGAAATAATTTTTATTTGTCAAATGGATAGCCTATTAAACTCAAGCTAGCAACAAATGATAGTCTTTATAGGGTCAGCTACTACCACTTTTTTTTTCCCCTGTGGTACAATCAGTTTTGAAGAGAAAATGAACAGGAGAAACAGAAATGAGAGAGTCTGGGTAATCCACAAAATGAATAGCTAGTGCCTAAATAATTGAAATTTGATCATAATGCACACATATCCGAATTGCATAAAGAAATCATTGGCCAGTTGTTCATGTTGCTTTAGCTTCATTTGGGACATCTTGGACACCCACCTTCATTGAGTGTTCATCTTGGACACCAGAGAAGGTGGGACAAGATGCTAAGTGGGAGAATGGTTTAGAAAGATAAATGAAAGAAACTAGCCATGAAGTTATTAGAGCAGCTTTGGATATAAAAAAAATTAATGTTGTTATGGTTTTAAACTCATTGTTTGAGGAAACCGTTGTTCAAAGATCTGTACAAAAGCATGTCAAATGGCCAAATGGTCTTTAAAATTATCACTAATTCTAATCCAAAGGAGACTGTGGTTTCCTTTGAGTCCCTATAGTAGGATATCACAATATGTAGACATGTGTATTGAGAAGGAAATGATTAACAACATTCTGAGTCCACAGTTGAAATGCATAATGTATTTGTTTTGTTAAGGGTAGGCTTTTTTCCTGGAGTGCAAGTATTCTCAAAAAATAACTTAGGTACTTCAGAAACCTTGATTAACTTTTCTCAGAACATTATTGGAGCAGAAGTGTTTTTGTTCCATTATTCTAAAACTGTGATTGGAATGAAGCTTTCAAAACTTATTAGATAAAATAGAAGTAAAGTTATCTTTAGTATTTTAAAAAACAGGTGCCAAATGTTTAACTATCTTCTTTCCTCTGCTTGTATTTACATTTGTCTGTCATGGGGATCATAGTTTGTGAAGTGATTCTTTTTCTCCATAATACTCTTTAACTTAAATTATATTCTTTTCATTTTACATAATTTTTGCAAATAATTATTGTTTTTGTTGATTACTTACTCTTTTCTTTAAAATGTGTGTTTAAAGACTTGCCTACTTAAATATTAGGTCTTTTTGGCTAACTTCAGATCATTTGATACTGATCGTGTACCCCTAGATGAGTAAAAAAAAATAGAGCCTTTGGAAATTCATGAAGCAGTTTTTATTAGCACTGGAAAATGAAGTTCCTTTTTATGTGTATTTGCTATTGAATTTCAGTACATAAGCCTCTGCTAGTAACTGAGTAGAATAGTTGAGTGATAAATTGTTACTCTACCAGAAAAATTAACTCTGTCCTCAGCCCCAGTAACTTAAGCCTTATTCATAAGAAGTTATTGCTTTAGCTTCACAGATAATTTTTTTTTAATGTAAAGATAAGAGAGTGCTGAAAATGGTCACAAAGATCCACCAACATAGTTTCCTTGATGATAATATTTTCAAATTGTATATTAGTCCTAAAAGTAAATTGACACCAGACTGAGACTTAAGATGTCTTCCTGTCCATCTGGTAGACAACTGTGAGCATATCCAATTTTTAAATCCATTAAATAGGGAATAAAAAAAAATTCCTAACCAAATGCAAGACAGATATATTATGAAAAAATGTATGTGCTAAAGGTATTTTTGTACCCTTTGATAAAACTATATAAAACTCAAGGTTCATGAGTTTTAAAATTTTTGAACCAGCTCTGGAATGTACACTTTTAAGCTATGAGCTGGGTATATTCTTTCATTTTCCCCATTTGTGAAGCAATTAAAATTTTTTATACCCAAACTGGTAAGTGTGGAATATCTGAATAGAGAAAGTTATAATTGCTTAGCCAGAAAGGTTGTATCCATAATATTATATAAATAAAATCTTGTTTAAATAGAATAAGACAAAAATTTTTTTCAATAAAAATCATGTAAAATTTATCCTTTTGGGAAAAATCATACCTATTTTTCACATGGCAGAAAAGCACTCTTCAATTCTGTGGCTCTCCAAAATAGTCTGAGTGTTTGACAGTTGTGGTTAGAGCAAAGCATCTTGACAATTTGATATCCAGTTTTTAGGAAATATGCTGAACTTCCTATATTTTCTTCATCTATTACTTATCCTATAAACAAGAAACTCAGACCTATTATTACAGATATTTTTATCTCATTAGTTTCTTGGGTATCTTTTTTTCTACTTTGGTTACCCAAGGCCAAAATATTGCAGCGAAGGCTAAAAATTTTGTTCAGATCTATTTTCAAACATAACACCATTTTAGCCTATAGTAGAAGTTTTGCAAATATTTATTGACTTCTGGATATTTAGTATTGTCTAAAATTTTTTTATTAACAAAATCAATACTTGGAAGAAAAATGGGTTTTTGGAATGTATTTCCTTTATTAATTTAGAAGCATTACAAACTCTTGCCCACTGTATTACTTGATATTCCCTATTCATGTTCATTGTAGTAGCAGAAAGTGGCATTGAAAACATCCTGATGATGGTGCCAAAAATTTACCATAGATGATCCACAAACTTAAAAAATCTGCACATGTATACTTGAAAGTTGACTGTAATTTGAATGGAAACAAACCAGTAATCAAAAGCAGAGCACCAGAGTTATTTAACACCTTTTTCAGGAATCTAGTGATGGTCACCATTTTTATTATCTTACATGTAATATGTAATAACCGTGATGACCATGATTAATCAGTAAATATCTCTTGGAAAACTCTGTAATTGAGAATTTATTTTTTCTTAATATACCTATGCTAGAGAAATAAAATACAGGGAGAAGTCTGTTATAATTCTTAAGAAAATTATTGACAGTAAGCACTAAAGTAAGGACGAAAGTTACTTGTTTTACGTAAGCTGTGCCATAAGAGAGAAAAATAGAAGAAATAAACATGCCATCAAGAAAGGAAAAATCAAAAAAAAAAAATCAGTTTCCTTCTAAAATGATTAACATAATATATACAGTTTATGACTGGCTTCTTCATGTAACCTATATTATATATGTGAAATATATATATATAGATATATGAGGAATATGATATATATTGGATATTTGGGATATCAGTTTGAGGATATATGTATACATGTGATCTATATTTAATTGTATATGTATGATTTTTCAAATAGAGCTGATTTTTCTCTAGTACCTTAATAGCTCCCTATTATTGAAAGACGAATTTCTCTTTTTTTGTGGCTCCTAAAATCTCTCTGGGATACTCTTATAATAATTCTCACATTTATTTGCTGTATAGACTCATGATAAATGAACTATGTTTGAAGGGAGGCCATCTGTGGTTGTGGAAATGGAACTCAAAGGCATGGGTTTAACAACTGAAATTAAGTATTTAGCCCAGTACATAAATTCAGTTGTTTAAAATAGGCCTGTAAAGTATTTTCTCTGTAACTTAAAGATTACTTAATATGTAATTAATTTTAGCTGCTACCTTCATTTCCACCAATAGCAACAATTTCACAATTTTAATCAAACTATTATTCATTTTCCTGGTGACTGATGGCTTACTTTTTCTTCATACTTAAAATAGGAAGAATAGAAATTAATAAGGAATAATCCTGATTAAAAACTAAAAAGCACTTTCACCTGAGCTACTGGTTTATTTTTATGTTTTGGTATTACTTTATTACAGGTAAGAAAGAATACTTCCTAGATATTAGATGTTTAGAAAATGAGTTCCTTTGTATAAGTGAGGAACTATTTCCACAGTTTATTTACTATGGGTACAGGCTAATT